AAAAAAAAAAAAAAATTTAGAAAATTAATATTGACCTGTCCTTGGTTCCTGTCAAAAAAGTGACAGGAACTAGGGGCAGTAGGACCCAGGGGAAGCTTGGTGGGCTCCTGCAACAGCCTGGGACCATGTGGCTGCCCCGGTGACGCGGGAACCTCAGGTACAGTGGGGGAAAGGTGGGGGGGGGAAGACCCTGGGCAGGGAAGCAGCACAGGGAAAAGCTGAGCATGGGGAAAAGCGGCCCCTCGCCCACCCTGTGGCCCGTGCTCCCTGCTGCAGCCACTTGCAGATATATAGCTCACTGTAATGTTGAAGCATGTCAACCAGTTACTAAGCTGACAGTTTGCTCTGGGTTATTCTTTGATACTTCTTTATCCTGTACCCTTCCCCAAGCCTACCTTCTTTAACCAATAAAGCTCTCCACTATAAACAAGTGTGGTGGACTTGCTGGGAGAAGGATTGGGTACACCTTTTCTAGTCCCTATGCTCAGCTGGCTAAGGGAGGCTACTTTCTATGATTCCAGCTTAAGGAAGCACCTCAAGTTCTTGCAGTGGGTCAAGCACCCTCAAGGTCTACCAGGTCCGTGTACCCCAGGGGGAACAGGGCCTGGAACAAGTCCAGATCCCTGGGTGGCAGCAGTGGTTACCCCAAGCTTTTGTATGTGCTCTAGGAGTGGAGGGTCAGCCAGACATGAGGTGCCCCAGAGGAGGCACTCGAAGCTTGGTAGGTGGTTGGGCACAGTGGAGGTGGGTGGCTCAGCGCAGGATACCCCTAGTGGTTTGCAATACAGGTAGGCAAGGTTTCAGTGAGGTGCTGAGGAAAGTAGGCTTTCACCCCTTTCTTCTCATAGGAGCTTTGTGAGGAGAGGGGCAGGAATGCCAGATCAGATGCAGCATAATGCAGAAAGCAAGGCTGCTCTTTGTCCCCTGCTCACAAGATTGGGGGGGAGGTGGGAGCAGCTGGGCCCTGCTGTTGCAGAAGCCCACCAAGCTTCCCCTGGGTCCTACTGCCCCTGGTTCCTGTCATTTTTGACAGGAACCAAGGACAGGTCAATATTAAAATTTTCTAAATTTTTTTTAGGGGCCCCATGGGCTGGATAGAATGGCAATCCCAAATCTCTGCTACAGAGGAGTTGTGCTAATACAGCATGTTGCAAGCCAGAGGTGCCAACACACAAATCTCACCTCTCCCAAGAGCTAGCATCTCTACCATCTGCAGGAAGCTCTAGATATTTTCAGTTAATCATGGTCTCCCAGTTTCAGATACCAAAATGATAATCAGCACTTGAACTGAAATGTACCTGCAAACTAGAGCTACTGTGTACATGCCACCCCTGGCACTGTACCAGCATCCCCTTACAATATGGGACAGTGACCAAAGCTTAACCTCATTTCCAGATGTACAAGGCTGAGCTTTTCCCCTTGGCAACTGTTCTAATGCATCAACAATGGGACTAACCTGCACCACAGAACCTGGCTCCAGAGGTCCGTGGAAAGGGGATGTTGGAATCCTGGTATGACCCATAGGCATTGGAGACCCGGGCGAATGTAGGCAAGGGTGGTGTTACAGAGTTTGCCAGAGCATACCGATTGCTGGTGGTGCTGTCCTCTTGATTCTGAAACGGAAATTGCCCAAGATCACATTCCAAATGCATGTGAATGAGAGTATGTATGGAGAATGAGACAATACAGCCCCCAAAAACAGAAAGAACATGAAGTTCTTCATACCACAACAGACTCTAGCCAGGAAACCAGCTGACGCAAACAAGGCTCCAGGCAGCTCTGGTTCCGTTTCACTTTCTGCAAAGAAGTGTCCTGTAAGACCTGCAACAGGCATAACATACAGCTTGAGTCATCTTAGTCATCATGACCATGCTTCTGCATTAGCCCTTCATCTGCAAAAAGCAGTGAAACTGCAAGAACATGGGAATACTGAAGGGTCAGCAACCCTCAGCTGAGACAAAATGACCCCTTGAACTGTTCTCCACTTTGAGGAAGAAAGATCTTGTTAGAAAGTCATAACAGATATTTGCCAGACCCTCTGGGTTCTATTTCTGGTTCTCCCACCAATTTGCAGTGTGATCCTATGGAAAGTCACAGCTATTATATTCTTATTCACCCGCTCTTGTCCAAACAGAGTGAATATATACCCACCTCCTAGTGGAGGATGATTTTATCCTCATACTATGCAGTTGTCACCCAAACTGAAAGATTCCAGAGATGCAAATCTCAAGAGTGCCACAATACCCTTTTTAGGATGTTATACAACATTAGTATCCTTAGTTGTGCAAACATCTACACCAGGGGTAGGCAATTATTGCAGCTGAAAGGCCACTTAGAGTTTTGGTGAGGTGTTTAGGGCTGCATGGGTAGCCCTGCCCCTTGACAAGTTGCCCTGTCCCCTGGTTGCCACACTGGAAGTCCTGCCCTCTATCCCCTGACTTTTGCCACTGGACATCCCTCCCCTTACCCCCCAGAAATACTCCTTTTGAGAGGGTAGGGTTGCCATCTTGGCAAAAAACAACAAATCATACACTAAAAGTCAAACACCTACTATAACTTATTTTAATTTTATTACAAAAAATATTTGTTGCGATTTGTGTTTATGTACTGTATATAGAGGGGATTGCATAATAACTCAAAGTCTTACTCGTGTATATTGTGTGTGTGTGTGGGTGTGGGGGGGGTGAGGTGTAGGGGATGCATGCGAGCGTGTATGGTGGGGTGTGAGGTGGTGCATGTGTGTGTATGGGGGGGTTTGTGAGAGGGTGTGGCAGCAGGGTGCGAGTGTGAGGTAAGGGCGGCGTTTGGGGAGCCCCCACATGCTTCCCCATATGGCATGCAGCCCCCGTGCACATGCTGGTGCTCTGCTCTGGCCAGCACTGTGTATGTAAGCAATGAGGGGCATGGCCTGCCTCTATTGCAGGGGCTCCACACAGTGTGTGTGCAGCTCCTGCACTTGTGTGGCAGAGGGAAGCCCCATGCTGGAGCTGGCTGCCTTCTCCGTCCCCTGCCACACAGGTCCAGGGACTCAGTGAGAAAGTAGGGGGCACAGCTCCCTCCACTTCTGCCAGAGTCCTGGGACCTGTGCAGCAGAGGGTAGGGAAGGCAGCTGGATCCAGTATGGGGCTGGATTAGATGTGGGCCGGGCAGGCTGCACTCTTCACCTCCACAAGCAGTGCTGGCCAGAGCTGTGTCCTACTGGGTGCCAGTGCCTGTGCAGGGCACGAGCACCCTATGCACACCTGCCTGCTGCTGGCAGCGGGGGCTCTGCACCATGTGGGAGAGCGTGGGGGGTTCCTACACCCTCCCACCCATACCTCACCCAGCTGAGCTCCATGCTC